AAAAAAGAAGGAAAGTAACATTTCACTGAAAATTAAAACAATACACATATAGAAATGCTCTACACGAAACTATCACTAAATTTAGTAACAGTAAAGAAAAGGGACTGATCCTTTTATACCCAAAGTGATAAGACATCCCTATTATTTTTTAAAAAGAACAAATGTAACTAGGCCAGTACACTTCAATAAAACTGCTAACAATAAATCACAAAGTCATCTATGATTACATGCCTTCACGGTATTTGTTCTACTTAGGAAGGCATGACCTGACAGAAAAGGCTAGGGAACCTAATTTGTGAAAAATTATCCTCAAGCTTACCAATTCAAATTATTTGCTCCTAGACTTCCTGTTTGGTTCCAAAAGGTCATACATGATTTTAAGAAGTCTTTCTTTCTGGGGCACCTGGGTGGCTCAGTGGGTTAAAGCCTCTGCCTTCGGCTCAGGTCATGGTCTCAGGGTCCTGGGATGGAGCCCCGCATCGGGTTCTCTCTGCTCAGCAGGGAGCCTGCTTCCCCCTCTCTCTCTGCCTGCCTCTCTACTTGTGATCTCTCTCTGTCAAATAAATAAATAAAATCTTTTTTTTTTAAAGAAGTCTTTCCTTCTTCCAAAGCAACCCCACTACTTGCTCTTTATATTATAAAAACTGATGCAAACTTTTAATCTACCATAACACTAAAAGCGAGTCACGAATTTTGCAGGAACCAGCAAACACTCGTTACGTCTCCAAACAGACTAGTATTCTCAATGGGAATCATCACCTTCCTGTCATGATACAATCAATGAAAAAAGGTATAGAGATCACCAATTAAGAAGAGTTGATACCTCAGTCACCCCATTAGTAATGGAAAGAACAGAACACAGAGAATCCAGCTTGTCTTGACTTCATGCACAGGGACTACTCTGTTGCCTACATGTTTTTCCTCTTTCTTTCTATTTTTTTAAAATTTTATTTTAAAGTAATCTCTATACCACACGTGGGGCTCAGATGTACAACTCCGAGAGGAAGAGCTGCATGCTCCACTGACTTAGCCAAATGCCCTGCTATTTCTCGAATGTTCCCAAATATGTTACCATATCCCAAAGACAAATGAAGATTCAATTACCCATCCATTTCAGCAAGAAGCTGATTTATAGTCTGCCTTGAATATGGATGCATTGGAGACTCAATTCGCTTCCCACCAACAGAATCTAATTCATCAATAAATATAACACAGGGAGCATTTGCTTTTGCTTCCCCTAGGAAAAGAGAAGAGATACAAATAAGCTTAATGAAATCAACGTTCTTTGAAGAAAATCATGTAAGTATTAAAAACCTGTAAGACTGTCAAAGGCAACAAAAGACATTCATTAAGGAGAAAGTACATAAAAATGAGATCTCTTTCTTTCTTTTAAAACTGATTTAAGAACGGTAGCCTCAGGAAAAAAAACTGTACCATACAAAATGATATATAATAAAAAACAACCGAGTATTCATTCTTCTGACTGTACAAGCCACAGTCAGATTTGAGGCTAACTATTCCTTAATTACATACTACTGAATTAATGAATAAGATAAAAAGGACAACAACAACAGAAAACCCAGCTTTTCAACAGGCCCCAAGGTCACCTAACACTTCTAGCTCCTCTATTTGGGAAAGTACAGTTCTGTTTTAGGTCACACATTAAATTACCTAAAACCAAAACCCCACAATGGTGAGGTCAGCTATCAATCATAATCGAATAGCAAATAGGTAAGAATCCCTCTTCCCCTAAAATTAACAAAATTTCGTATTGTATGAAAGATACATTAAAATGTACTAAATAGATTTCTGATACGGCTGGCTCCCAAACTCACAAACATTTCATCAAATTCTGATCCAGAAGCATAATAAAAAGGAACATCAGCTTCTCCAGCCACAGCTCGAGCAAGAAGCGTCTTTCCTGTCCCTGGTGGTCCAACTAAAAGTATTCCTAAAAGAGAAAACAAATACACTGATTCAACTTAAAAAATAAAAATAAAACCTGATGTGAGCCTATGAAACAAATAGTTATTAATTAATGCATACATAGTTTTGAGGTTGAAAGCCCATGACTATTATTTTGAAACAAAGCAAAACATAGGTCTCTAGTAATGATTCTCTTCAGGAACTTCTTTAAAACTAATTTCCCTCTACCATTTATATCTTGAGAGAATGGAACATAATAAACTTATCTGTCATTAAACAAGTAAGATAAAATTCACATAAACACAGATTAAAAAATTGAGCAACCAAATGTGACACATGAACCTTGACTTGATGTTCTTCCATAAAACACATATTTCAGAAACTCTGATGAAAATTTGATTTGGACAGCTGAGGAAAATTTGAAAAAATTCTGGAGTACAAGATATTAAGGAAACAGTATTCAATTTTACTTGATAGGATAAATTATTCTCTTTAGGATAATGTCCTTAGTCTTGGGTGACACATAACAAAGTATGTAGAGGTAAGTAGTTCATGTCTCCAGCTTTGTAACGTTTCCTATGTTAGAAAATTTTCATAACAGCAGTACATTTTTTATAAGTTGGAATAACAGATTTCTCCGGTTTCCACAACTTTTCATTTTTCATTTAAAAAGGTAAAAAACCCTTTATTAATTAATGCTATATTTTAACATAAAAAACTATCTTTAAAGGAAAGTTGTTGAAAAATACCCTTAAGACTACCCCTTGTATTGCCATGTTATTGTTATCCTTAACTGGTTTAAATGGTAGAATGTATTTTTATAACTGAGAATTTCCCCACAATTTTGTAAAATATCTCTTGTGATTAGAAAGAAAAGTGTTAACTATTCTATGACTTTAAACTTTAAACTTTCTGATGTTATAGTACTGATTTTAATAAATGAATCCTAAATTCGCAGAGATTCATGCAAACAGTTTTATATACTGCTGAGCACTGTCAGTAGAGATAGTGGGCAGTATAGAAACAAACCTTAAATATGAGTGCCACCTTTATGAGACTGACGTGCTACCTACTGCGCTAACGAGGCACCTTGAGTGCCACCTTTAACTTACCAATTCCATTTCTAGAATTAGAATCCAGAATAATGAATAAATAAATGAGTAAATCTAGAATTTATTCTGAAGAGATAATTAAGGATGTAGGCAAAGCCTTGAGATAATAAGATGATCATCACAGTGCTGATTTTATTATTTTAATTAAAAATATCTGAGTATAGTTGACACACAGTCACATTAGTTTCAGGTGTACAACATAATGATTTGACAAGTTTAAACATTATGCTGTGCTCACAAGAGTAGCTACCCTCTGTCACCATACAACACTATTACAGTATCACTGACGGTATTTCCTATGCCTTTTACTCCTCTGACTTACTCATTCGACAACTGAAAGCATGTTTCTCTCATTCCTCTTCACACATTTTGCCCAGCCCTCACACTGCTAATTTTAACCACAAAACACCATAAAAGCTTAATGTAAGTGATTACAGCATAGCATGATCATTTGGTCCAGGGACACCACAAAGTCATTACAATCTTGTACCCAATTCTAGCATATGGTTTCCCCTCACACCAACAAATAATTCTCCAACACCAGTCGGGCACCCTAACATTCCAATCAATTCTGATGCTACCCACCTGGAGATAGCATCAAATACCGTAAGTTAAGGACTTCATCCCAAAAGACTGCAGACTACATACTAACTTGTGGAAAGTTCCAGCCTTCTTATCATATGGTTGATTCTCCTGGCAACCAGCTGCTAACCTTAGGTGTGCTCTAAGAGTTGACTCATTAATAGAAGACAAATCTATTCCTGTCATCACTATTAAACTACAAGAAATGGGACTAAGACTACATATGTATTTCTTTTTTTTTTTAAGATTTTATTTATTTATTTGACAGACAGAAATCACAAGTAGGCAGAGAGGCAGGCAGAGAGAGAGGAAGGGAAGCAGTCTCCCTGCTGAGCAGAGAGCCCGATGCGGGGCTCGATCCCAGGACCCTGGGATCATGACCTGAGCCGAAGGCAGAGGCTTTAACCCACTGAGCCACCCAGGCGCCCCTAAATATGTATTTCTAATTATAAATCACAACAGTCATTAAAAGAGAAAACATCAAAGACAAACAGGACTATTCCACAAATTAGTATATATATTGCACAAATTTTAAGGTCATGAAAGATCCATACCCACTCGCATAATAACAGAGTGAGGAGGGGAGCCTGGGTGGCTCAATCAGTTAAACATGAGACTTCGGCTCACCTCATGATAGGGTCGTGAGACTGA